ACAGTGAACTATGATCCCACCATTTCATATCAGTGACAGAGCAAGATCCTGTCTCTAAACAAACAACCAAACAAAAAATGCAGCTTACAAAATAGTACTTTTAATAGAATTATATTTTGTTTTAAAATATCACATATATGCAAAAAAATGTCCTTACAGTGTTAACAATGGTTATCTCTAAGTGATGGGATTACATGTAATTTTTACTTTCCTCTTTATATCTTTATATGTTGTATGACCTTTTTAGAATGGGCATGCATTACTTTTTATATTAAAAAAAATTCAGACATACATGATCTTAAACAAAAAAAAAAAAAAAAAAAAAAAAGCGCAGTTTTCCTATTGAGATGGGAAAATGTGAGTCATCACGGTCCCCTTAGGCCAGAACGGACTGGAAGATGATCCCGTCTGTTTCTCTTCCTGGGATCAGGCGTGTTTGATCCGCATCACGGGAGCAGGGCTAATCCCCGGGGAGGCCACATCCTCCTCCAGGGCCTTGTCGTCCCTGGTTTAAACACAGTCACCATCCACATAATCCCCCCGCTCAATATTTTCTCTTTTCCTGGGAAACAAGGCCCTTTACGTGTTCTGATTCATCGCCCGGCTGGAGGCCGAGTCACCACAGCCTCAGACGCAGGTGTCTGGGGTGACACAGCGTGACACCGTGCCTCCGGAATAAGGGCAGTCCTTCCGCCTTCGAGGCTGTGAAATGTCAGGCGTGATTAGAAAGGTCACTTGTCCTGACAGCCCTCTGTGCTTCCCGGAGAGCAGCCTTCCTGCTGGGAACATTCTTAATTGTTCTTCCTGTGGCGGGGGTCCCTGCGTGCTTACTCCCTTATATAATGGTGGCCCTATCTCCCTCCTAGTCCTTTCTGAATTCCTGAATGTGGAGGAAAAAATGCCAAGCACTGCAAAATCTTGCAAAAACAGGGCAGCTCTCTGATTCAAGAAAAGAATGAAAGATGAATTTCTAGGAATGGGTATTGCATGGTGGAAGAAGGAAACTGCATCCTTGGGAAAAAGAAATGTGCACACAGTGGGGGGAGGGCGAGTTCAGAAGAACAGGCAAAAAGAATAGGCACAACCCCAAATTCCAAAACCGTACAGTGCATGGAGCAAGGGACTAAGAGCAGTGTGTCACGCTGCTCAGTGTAGACTCTGGAGACTGAGGCAGAAGCTCTCGAATCACTATGTGCTCCTACTACCATCCCCAGAAATTCTGATTCTGCAGGTCAGGGGTGCTTCCCAGAAATCCTCATTTTAACAAAGCACCCAGGTGATCTGTGCACCCCACTTTGGGAATCCCAGCCTAAGGGATGAGGTGAGACTAGTGGCGGGGCACATCAGATGAATTCCTTGTATTTTGCTCAACAGAGGTGGCTAGGAGCACCCAAGGGATCACAGAGTGACCAGGGTGTGCTGACGCGGGAGAGGAGAACCACTGTAAAGGAGGGAAGGGGTGATAGCTTCCAACTTTCTGGCTTCTTGAGCCCAGACTAGCACGGAAGGAGCATGTCAAGTGCAAGGCTGATGTGAGGGTCCCCCGCCCCAACCAATAATCTGTCACTGATGTCTTTACAGAGGACCTGCTCTCCAGTGACAGCACTGGCTGGACAATTATCCTGTAACTCTTGGTTAGCAGTATTATTTTCTTAACTTCACAGAAGTTTCTAGGGTAATGGAAATATTTTGTTTGGCTTATCATATCTTATCAGGGAAGTGCAACAGGGAGGCTGGGCTCTAAAACATCAAATCCAAGTTTTGGAGTCACTAAACACCCTCCCCTCCCATGAGGCCAATTTGGGGGCCCATGTGCAACACCAGATTCCTATTCCTTTTAGAGCAAACTCCTTTTACACTTGGCCATAAGCAGGTAAAGCAGAGAAGGATATAACCAAATCATGTGATGGTGCGAGGAGTATGAATGGAAGATAAACAATGGACACATCCATGATCCAGAGAATTCTGCAACTCCAGGGCAGTTTGTGCTGATGGTAGACAACAGAAAGACCTCAGCCACTGACCCGGTTGTCTGACACAGAGCAGGCAAAGGGAGTACTGTTAGGATTGCCAGGAAAAAGAAGGGTTCTGCTGAGCAAATGCAACCAGCCCTTCCCAGCAGATCTTAGATGAAAGCTTCTGAAATGATAGCCTGTTGCTCATTGGAGAATCTTCCCTTCTTGCAGCAGGAAGCTCACCTGCAAAAAGCAGAGTGGCCTCCTGCCCTTACTCTCAAAGCTGTGCAAGTCAGGGCCTACATCCGGCTTCACCTTGGCACAACACTGCCCTGAATGAATGTCACACCAGGGAGGCAGGCAGTTCCTCGCCACCTCGGTTGAGCAACATGTAAGGGCGAGGGAGTTGAAGCAGAAAGCATCCTTCAGCGGGCGGGTGAGGGCCTCTCCTGGGCCAGCCACGGCCCTAGGGGATGGAATACAGCCGAACAAATCAGAGCCCTTGCTCTTGGGCAACTCATCCCAATGGGAGGAGGTAGACTTTCATAAACAAGTACCTCCAAACGATATATGTCAGGGGGTCATAGGTGCTATGAAGATAATTAAATCTGGATAAAGCAAGGAGAACAATAGAAGATGGGGGGTGTCAGGGAAAGCCTCTCTGAGGAGATGGCAGTTGAGCAGAAACCGCAGCGAGGAGTGAGCTATGTGAATGCCAGGGAAGGTGGCCCCAGACAGGAGTGCAGATTCATAGGCCCTGAGGTAGGAGCGGGTGCTGGGAGCAAAGAACCCCCTAAGGCTGCCGGGAGTGAGGAGAATGGCAGGAGATGACATCAGAGTGCAGCCAGGGGCTCCACTGCTCGGGGCCTTGTTAGTCATGGGGAACTCTGGATTAGCCAATGGGAAGCATGTACAGCTTAAGAGATTTTCTCCCTTGAATTTTACTGATATGACTAAGAAAAATGATCAAGACTACTTCTTTAGGGATTTTTAAAAACAAAGATGTCAGCAAAAGGACACATCTGCCTCCTATGCTGGGGAGGTGGGATTACAGAATTAATTTTCCCTTTTTTCAAAATATGGATTTGTGATTGCTACAATGCTTGTAGAATAGAAAATATATTTATCTACAAACAAAGCCACCGGCACAGAGGCAAGGAGACTGCTCGTGTATCCCCAGTGCCTGGAGCAGTATCCAGCACACGGCAGATGCTCCCGGGATCCCAAGGTGCATCTCTGGAGACAGGTGGCACACTCTGCCTGGAGCAGGAGAATAAGGAATTCTCCGGGCCCCACCCGAAGCAGGCTGATAAACCTCATCCTCGGAGTTCTGTGATTTTTAAATTATCCATACCCTGTAGAAAGTTTTATGATTAGGGAAACACTATGATTTTGAGCAAAGAGACCTTTTATTGGCCTTTTGGGAAACACAATCAGCCTCCTCCATGCCTTAGGCTGCTGACTTTCTTCTCAGGCTGGTGATGGGAGAAGCAGATTGGATTAGGAAAGCTGCTCCCCTGGATGCAGGGATTCAACTCCCCAGCTCTTCGAACAGCCTCTTTCCCCAGGGACTGGGACACCAGTCCTCCTGGGCTCACCTTTCACAGGGTCATGGAACTAATAATCCGAACTGCTTGGCCTAACCTCGCAAACAACATGCGCTGTTGTCACCTAGAGAGGCACATTCCCCACCAGCGCCTGTGCTTGCTGCCTGGCTGGGCCTTGGCATGCTCCTCCAGTCGGGAAGCCCCATGAGTTGGTAAGATGCATCATCAGTCAATGCCTCTGTTAAGTTCTTCTTCCTCTCCCCAGTGTGCTGGGAAGTATCAAAGGGAGGATGAAAAATCTGCTCAAGAACTGGGACCATTGTAAGACACAAAGACACATCCAGGGAACACAAAGACTCCATATGCAACAAACCCGTATGTTACATCATCGGTGTAGGTGCTCTTCCTTCCATATTTTCCAGGAAACAAACAAGAAAGGAGGATGTCACACATTCACTCTTTTTGGCCCAGTTCCTATAAGTTCTTCAGTTTCCACCTGTCTTATGAGGATCCAGTTTAGTTAATAATGAAAACTTCTACTGATTGAGCAATTACTATGGGTCAGTTTCTCGATAAGCATTTCACGTAGTTTAACTCATTCAATCCTATAAGGAAGATATTATTACATCCATTCTACAGATCGAAGCAGCTGAGACTTAAAGATAAACATTTGCTTAAAATCGCTCAGCAAGCAAGTGGGCAACACAGGTCTCTTTGATTCCAAAGCCCATGTTTTAAGCCACCACACTGCACAACCTCTCAGGACAGATAAGGATGTATAGTAGCAGCCTCCTTTCCTTTAAGTAAGATTTTGGAAAACTTCTCTAAAGTTAGGTAAGAGTGAAGAGGAATGATAATGTTGAAATGTCCGAGTTGTAATATGCAGTTCAAAATTAGAACATTGGAGTGAGACAAGAAGTTCATTTAGCATGGGAACCCTTAACCCCTCAGTCAAAACTCTAAGACTTGCCACAATCTGGACTAATGACCTCCCATCCATTCGTTCATTCAAACAAATATTTAGTTAAATATGTACCATGTGCCAGGTGATAAGGGACTCAATTGTAAATACAAACAGAATGGTCTCCACTCTCATGAAGCTTATGGTTTGAAATATATGGAGATATATATATGTGTTTATGTATATGTATATATATACACACACATAGTTAATATATGCATATCAATATATTCAAATTAAATATTAAATTGCAATAGTCTTAAGTCCAATGTGAGAGAAAAATGTGGTGGTATAAGAGCGTGTAAAAGGAGATTGGTCTGTCCTTGAAGAGGTGACATTGAGCTGATATATGCATGATGGCTAGAAATTAAGCAGGCAAAGAGGAGAGAGAAAATGCTAATGGAATCATCCAGCCAGCCCCACCCTCTCTCCCTCTCAGCTCACCGTAGCAGAAACCTGAATCCTGTGGGATGAACATGGGGCAGTATAGGCAGTGGGTTGTTTAGGTCTCATTTGTCCAAGCAAATGTAGCCCTGGGAAGACTGAAGGTTTTATTCATTGAGGAGAAACAAGAGACAGGTGACTGGTGATATAAAACCAGAAAAGGGGCATTAGCAATTTATCCTGTGATATGTCAGTCTTCTAGACTCCTTGATGACACTGTTATCTAGGCGGGATGTCACCGTTCCACAGGCTGCATTTGTATGAGTCAGAAAAAGATGCCCATTCCTCCAGGAAGAACCAGCCTCGGACCAGGGCACCAGATTGAGGAGGAAACCATAGACTTGATTCCTACCCCAGTGATTGGCTCTCCCAACCCAAACCAGTTACTTTTGTCCAATGAACAACATGCACATCCGTACATGGTGGAACTGTGAATAGACCTCTGTTGTACTAGTCTCAGTGACTAAGAGGGCTGTGAAATTAGGACTAGGCTGACCACAAGCATTGTCCACTATGGTGTGAACATATATGTATGTGTGTCCTTGTGAATAATGTGAATTGCCAAAGATAGTTAGAGAAGTCCAAGGTAAGTAACAAGAATGAGAACTAGCAAAGCCAGTGTCTCCTGAAATGTGTTCACCAGGTTCACCAGGACACAAGAAGAAAGCAAGAGGTGGACATCAAGCAATTAGGGGAGAAGAAAGCTACAACCAGATGTCTGGCCTGGTGACGAGGCACCTGGCATAGTCAGGGAATATGAAGGCTGGTTGGGGGTCCCAGGAATCTGGTCTAATTCTGGTTTAGAGCAAAGGTTTTTAACCTGGAGTCCATCAGTAACCTTCAGCAGATCTCCAAACCTCTTGAAACTATAGCATTATTTTGCACATATGTGTACATGCATACTTCTGTGGGAAGGTTCTTAGCAGTCATCAGATTCTCAAGTTCAGAACTGGTCTCAAGGGACACAGATGACCTGGCTGGGTGGGCCACAGTGCATTCTGTGAAGATGGAATGAGATGTCCTGTCTCATGACAGGAAAACAAAACTATTTACTGTTAAGGCCAAGGAAGTTGCAACTTGCCTGGAAAAGGAGCCACCAATGCCTCAGAAGAACTTTTTCTCTCCTGTATGGTGTTTGAGCACCCTGCCCGTAAGAACCCAGTGAAAACTCTCTGCGTGGCTGGGGTCTCCTGCATGAGTGTACCTAATATTGAATAAGCAAAGCGTGTTCGTCAATAGACATTCAAAGTGATACTTCAGTAAGTTGCATTTACATTATCCCTCCCTCCTCAAGCTCATAATTATTAATTTGTTCCTTCTTTGCAATCATCCAAATGAGTGGGTGAGAATCTTGGCACTAGAGTCCTTCAATTTAGAGTTCAAGACTTGGCTCTTCCAGTCACCAGCTGAAGATACTGGTGCATTATTTCATCATCTTGGACTTTAGTTTCAACACCTGGTAAAATGGGGACAATAGTAGCATCTACCTGGGAGAGGATAAAATAATCCAATTAATCCATATAAGGTACTTAGTGTATAGTTAGTGTCCAATACAGGTTAAAATGATAATTTTAGTAGCTACTTCCCTTTCGAAACTTTGTGCCTTTTAAAATTTTGTGCCTTTTAAAAATTGAGTTATAATTTACACACAGTGAAATTCACAGATTTTAGGCGGACAGTTCAATAAGTTTTGACAAACTCATGCCTCTTTTTGATAAAAGGTCTGTGCCTTTTCTGTTATTTATATTCTGAAACTTTTTTGTTTTCCAAATGCTGAATTATATTCCAATACATGATCTATCTACGAAAAATCTCCACCCTTTCTCCCTCCATCAAACAGATTCTAAAATAGCTCCTCCCCACTCCCGGCCCAATTTAAAACGTGGAAGGAACTTGGTGCAGTCATCTCGCCCCTCCCCTGCTTCCTGGAGAGCTTGTGGATAAATCTGTTTTATGTTTACGTCTCCAGGGACAGCGTCCCTGCAACCTCTCTCAGTCACCTGTTCCAGCGCTTAGCAACACTTAACACTAGAAAGCTGTGTGTCCCTGTGTGTCCATGGCTTTTAAATGAGTAATAACAACTAATAGCGATATAATGCTTTAGAAAACAAGAGCCACGAACCGAGACAAGGCAGCTAGAGTGGAGTACACCCAGCCACGAGTGCATATGTGTGCGTGTTGAGAAGGGTGGACTTTGAGATTGTGCCCAGGCCAAGGGCGAGCGCTATTCGGCTCCAGCCCGTTGGTCACAGGTGAGAAGCCAGGTCTACAGGCACTAGATTTTCAATTTTTTTTCCCCCAGGGGGAAAGGCAGAAATCTGTGTTTTTCATGTGAAATACGATTTTTTAACATTGGCTTGGTTAAAAAAAGAAAGCTTTGTAGGTCAAAAGACATCTGCTACCTGCATGCAGCCCGTGGGTCAGTTTCTAATCCCCGCTGTGGTTTGTACAGTGTTTTCACATCTACCATCTCGTCTAATCTTGAATATACATGCAAGACAGGGAAGGCAAGCAGGTGTACAATCCTGGTTTTAACAGATGAAGAAACTGAGGCTCAGAAATATTAAATGAGTGTTGAAGCTGCACAGCTGGAGAGAGCCCAGGCCTTAGAGTTCTATCTCACCAGGGCTTCCTTTATAATGCATCCCAGCCTTGCCCTGCAGGGACCCTTAGAGCCCCAGCCCACTTCTCCGTGAATGCAGACACCACCGGAGTTTATCTGTTGTTTATGGATGATGTAGAAAGAAATGAGGAGCAACTCAAAGAGTAAATATGTGGATAAATAACAACCAAATATTGACTGCACAAAACAGAAACAAGGACATCTCATGAGCTTTTAAATATTTGCAGAATTAAAATATATGATACTAATAAAAACAGCCGGAGGTGTTTGACAGATTTAAGTGTTAAGATCTTTATATTGTCTCAGAGATAGGAAAAGTACCAACTTATATTAGACTGTAGTAAGCAAGGGTGGCTAATAGAAGAAGAATAAAAGGATATATAACTAAAAAGCTAATACAGGGGAAAAATACTGGATTAATACAAAAGAAGGCAAGAAAGGAGAGGGGAGATATATAAAACAGGTAGGACAAATTTTTAAAAAACCCAGAAAACAAATAGAAAGATAGTGAATATAAATTCAACTATATCAGTAATTACATTAAATGTAAATGGACTACTTCAATTAAAGTATAAATATGATCAGATTAGACAAAAAAGCCAAAACTCACTTGTATGTTCCATAAGTATAAGGACACAAAGATTGAAAGTAAAGGATGAAAAAAGATATGCCTTGGAAACACTAACCGAACGAAAACTATGTCACTATATTAATACCAGAAGAAGCAGATTTACAGCATGAAGCACTATTAGAGATTCATGCTGTAATGAGTGAATATGGTCATTCATTTTATGATAGTATGGCCAATTTTTTCATTGATAATGATTTTATAATGATAATATGGTCACTCTATCAGGAAAATATAACTATTCCAATTTATAACTTTCATATAATTAAAAATATATAAAGCAATGATTGACAGAACTAAAAGGAGAAATAGACAAAGCCACAATCACAGAGGGAAACTTCAACACATCTCCCTTGATAACTGATAGAATAATCAGACAAAACAAACCAGAAAGGATAGGAGAGATCTGAAAAACAAAACTGACAAACCAACTTGACCTCCAGACATATGTAAAACACAGTCTGTCGTCTGGCACAGTGGCTCAGACCTGTAATCCCAGCACTTTGGCAGGCTGAGGCAGAAGGATTGCTTGAGGCCAGGAGTTAGAGACCAGCCTGGGCAACATAACGAGACCCTCCATCTCTACAAAATATTTTTTTTTTAAATTAGGTGGGTGCAGTGGTGAGTGCTTGTAGCCCCAGCTACGTGGGAGGCTGAGGCAGAAGGATCGCCTGAGCCCAGATGTTGGAGGTTGCAGCAAACTATGACTGTGCCACTGCACTCCAGCCTGGGTGACAGTGAGACCTCGTCTCTATAAAACAAAACAAAATAAAACCCTATTTAGGCCGGGCGCAGTGGCTCACGCCTGTAATCCCAGCACTCTGGGAGGGCAGGCGGATTGCTCAAGATCAGGAGTTAGAAACCAGCCTGAGTGAGAGCGAGACCCCATCTCTACTATAAATAGAAAGAAATTAATTGGCCAACTAATATATGTAGAGAAAAAATTAGCCAGCCATAGTGGCGCATGCCTGTAGTCCCAGCTACTCGGGAGGCTGAAGCAGCAGGATTGCTTAAGCTCAGGAGTCTGAGGTTGCTGTGAGCTAGGCTGATGCCATGGCACTCACTCTAGCCTGGGCAACAGAGTGAGACTCTGTCTCAAAAAAAAAATAAAATAAATAAAACCCTGTTCATATGATAATAAAATGTTCTTTCTTTCCAAGTGCACATGAAACATCTCCCAAATTTTGACATATATTGTGCCAAAAAGAAAGTTCTAAGAAAACTCCAAGAACTGAAATCAGTCAGAATTTTCTCTGACCATCTCAAATTAAACTTGAAATCAATAACAAAACAATGACTAGCATATCACCAAATATTTGGAGATATGTATTTGGAGTAATGAACTAAATAATCCATGGGTCAAAGAAGAACTCACAGTGGAAACTGCCATCCTTAATAATAAAAATATGACATATCAAAAATGTGTGATGCAATTAAAGCTTTACTTATTTCTTTATACATTTATATTAGAAAAGAAGAAAGGCTGAAACTCAAAAATCTAAGTATTCATTGAATTATTTTTTTAAAAGAACAGGAAATTAAACACAAAGTAAGTAGAAGGCAGGAAATCATTAAAATAAGATCAGAAATTAATAAAATAGAAAAATTCACGTTAGAAAAAAGTAATAAAATCAAAAGTGGGTCTTTGAAAAGACTAATAAAAATGAATAGATCTCTAGCAAGACTTGTCAAGACAAAAAGAGGAAAAGCAAAAAATTGTCTATATCAAAAATTAAGTTCACCACACCACTTCAGACATTAAAAAGTAAATAACAGATTATAAATCCTTATGCCAAAAGTTTTAGAAAATTTAGGTAAATGGACAAATTTCTAGAAGAGCACAATTTATTTTAAAAAACAATAAAAAATAAATAAAAATCTGAGTATCTTTGTATCTATAAGATAAATTAAATCTGTAATTAGTAATTTGCACATAAAAGAACTCCAGGCTCAAATGGCTTCACTGGTGAATTATACCAAATATTTACGAAAAAATTATATCAATATTATGCAAACTTGGAAAAGTAGAGAGTATTACATGCTATGAAGCCAGTATAACTTTGACATCAAAACCTGACATGAACATTAAAAGAAAATTTCTGGCCAATCTTTTCTAAGAATGGGACACAACAATCCCAAACAAAATATTAGTAAATTGAATCCAGTGATACTTAAAACAGGCAATACATCAGGACCAAAGCGGTCTGTTCACAAATGAAGGGATTATTTACAGATGAAAACCCATCAATGTGGTTCATATCATAAGCCAAATAAAGGATCATATGACCATATCAATAGATAAAGAAAAAAAGATTTAATAATTAATAATTTAATACCCATTAATGATAAAAGTTCTTACTGAACTAGAAGTAAAAGAGAATTTCTAAATCTTTTAAAGAATATCCACAAAAATCCCAAAACAAAAATAATACCAAAGAAACAGTGAAATATTTCCCCCTGAAATCAGAAATGAGACAAAGGTGTTCACTATCACCATATCTACTCATACTACACTAGAAATCTTAGCCACTTCAATGAAACAATAAAAATACAGATGCAAATTGTTATAAGAATTGGAAAGAAAGAAATAAAACTTACATTATTTGTAATCAATATGTCGTGTACATAGAAAAAAACAAAATAATCTATAAATTATAATTAAAAAGTGAATCTGGCAAGATTTCTTGATTTTAAGTCCAATATAAAAAATCAATTTATATTATCAGTGGCAAATAGAAGGTAAAATTTTAAAAATGATTTCATTTATAATAGTATCAAAAAATTCAAATACTTAAAAATAAGTCTTATAAAAGATGTTCAAGACCTTTATTCTGAAATACTACAAAACTTTACTGAGAGAAATTTAATAAAATATTAAGAAGTCTATTTCCTCCAAATGCATCTGTGAATTCAATACAATCCTAATCAAAATCCCATCTTTCCTATGGAGATTGACATATTGATTCTAAAATGTATGTGGACATATAAAGGGCCAGGAATAGCCAACACAATTTTTAAAAAGAAGAATAAAGTTATTGTAATACTAGATATCAAGATAAAGCCATAATAATGAATTCAGTGTGGTATTGCATTGAGTTGAAAGAGATCAGTAAAACAGAGGAGTGTACAGACACAGACCCACACATACAGGTACACAATTACTTGATTTATGACAAATATGAAATTGTAGGGCAGTGGGAAAAGCTCGTCTTCTGGACAAACAGTGCTGTGCCAATTGTGTATCCATATTTTAAAAAGTTAACCTTGAACCCACCTTGCCCCATACACAGAAATCAATTGTAGATGAATTAAATGAGAAAGGAAAATCTGCAAAGCTTCTAGAAGAAAACAAAGAATAAGTTCCTATTCTATATATATATTCTATAGGGGGAAAAGTTTCACAAAATTAAGAACTTTAGTTCATTCAAATATTAAATTTATAGAAAAGCAACAAACCCCAGAATTGAAAATACTTGCAAAACACATGTATGACAAAGAACTGAAATCCAGAACATACAAAGAATCTTACAAACCAAAAAGAAAGATAGAGTTAACCCTGCTAGAAAACAGGGAAAAGTCTTGAACAAGTACTTCTCAAAAGGGCCAAAAATTTTATGAAAAGGGCTGAGCTTTATTGGTCATCAAGAAAATGAATTTAAAGGCCAGGTGCAGTGGCTCATGCCTGCAATCCCAGAACTTTTGGAAGTGGAGGCAGGAGGATCATTTGAGACCAGGAATTCGAGACCATCCTGGGCAGCATAGTGAGACCCCATCTCTACACAAAATTAAAAATTAGCTGGCATGGTGGCACACACGTGTAGTTCCAGCTACTTAGGAGGCTGAGGCAGGAGGATCACTGGAGCCCAGGAGGTCAAGGTTGCAGTGAGCTATGATGACACCACTGCACCCCAGCCCGGTGATAGAGCAAGACCCTGCCTGTCTCAAAAAAGAAGAAAAAGAAAAAAAAATGAATTTAAAACTATAATGAGATACCATGTAACCCCACCAGATTGGCTAAAATTAAAACAATGTAAAATGCCCAGTGCCGCGGAAGCTGTGGAGCGTCTTCATGTGGCGCTAGTGTCAGTTGGCACGACAAGTATGGACACCTGTTTGGCAGGCTCCACTAACGCTGAACACGCATCCCCACGTCCCATGGCTGGGTACATGCACCATAAAAGCAGCTCCTCGCTTGCTCCTGCTTACCTGTGTCTCTCTGCTCTAAAATCATTTCTCTTGACCCCATTTTCTCTAAAATCCTCCAGGTTTCCTCTCACCTGTTCTCCCTCAGGGTCATGATGACAGCTTCCATTCTCCTATTTCAGCAGCCCTCTGAGAGCCCCCTGTCTCTAGGACAGATCTCCTCAACAGCCACTGGAACAGACTACATCCTGGAACCACTCCTGCCTAGGACTGTGGGCAAAGCTTTTATATAACACAGTGCCAAAGCAACCATGGGGTGTCCTATGTCACTCCTCCACATCTAGGCCTAAAACAGCCTGGCTGAAGATTTTTTTTTTTAAACGATAATACCTAATGTTGGCTTGGCAGGCAGAATAGAATATGGCCCCCAAAAGATGTCCATATCCTAAACCATGGAGAACCTGTGAATATGTTACACTGCATACAAAAGGGAATTAAGGTTGCTAATCAACTGACCTTAAAATAGGAAGATTATCTTAGATTACACAGGTGGGCCCAGTCTAATGACATGGCCCTTAAAAGAAGGCAGAAGAGCACAGCGTAGAGATTCAGCGTGAGGACTGACTGCTGTTGCAGGCTTTGAAGATGGGGGAAGGGGCCCGTGAGCCAAGGAACGTGGGGAACCCTAGAAGCCAGGGATGGCCCTCAGTCTACAGCCAGCAAGAAAACAGGGGCTTCATGCTCAAATCACAAGGAATTGAATTCTACCAACAACACAAATGAGCAGAACATTCCCCAGGGCCTTCACAAAGGGACACAGTGAGCCAACATCTTGATTCCAGCCCAACAAGACCCAAACTGGACTTTTGACATCCAGAACTGTAAGAAGTAAACGTGTGCCGTTTCAAGCTACTTTGCTGGCAGCATTTTGGCACAGCAGCAATAGAAAAACGCAGATAGTTGGAAAGGAGGCAAGGAAATAGGGCTTGCATAAGAAAGCAGACAGTTTTAACAGAAAAGAATTCACCAAAACACGGACTTTCCAAATAGCCAGTTAGTTGAATACGTCAGCAAATGTACAGACTTGCCAGTTTACAGCATTGAAAGTAACCTGTGGATTCTGGAGTACTTTGAGAGCTGGTGTAGGAAACAAACCTCCAGAACTACTCCCATTGTTCCAATGCCTGTGTGCTATTTCCAATATTATATATGATTTATATGTTATTTTAAAAAAAAAAAAAAGATAGGTCCGGTGTGGTGGCTCATGCCTGTAATCCTAGCACTTTGGGAGGCTGAGGCAGGAAGATCACTTGAGGTCAGGAGTTCAAGATTAGCCTGAGCAAGAGCAAGACCCCATCTCTACAAAAAATAGAAAAATTAACCAGGCATTATGGAGAGTGCCTGTAGTCCCAGCTACTCGGGAGGCTGAAGCAGGAGGATTGCTTGAGCCCAGGAGTTTGAGGTTGCTGTGAGCTATGATGATGCCATTGCACCCTAGCTAGGGAGACAAAGCAAGACCTGTTCTCCACAAAAAATAATAATAAATTTAAAAAATAAAATAACTGTGATTACCAGTTTCCAAAAGGGCCCCTAGCGATGCTTCCTGTTCAGTGCCCTCCCATATTGAAAAAGGCTGACCTGTGTAACCAACAGAATATTGTGAAATATTATGTGTGGAGTATGACTTCTAAGGACAGGACATAAAATCTATTGAAGGTTCCACCTTGTTCTCTCCGGGATCACTCACTGGGGAGGGAAGCTGGTCCCCAGGTCACGAGAGCCCCCTGGAGTGGGGAGAGGCTGAGCCCCCCTGCCAGCAGTGAGCACCCACTGCCAGCGTGGGAGTGACTCAGCCACCCGGGAAGAGGCTCCCCCAGCCCCAGTCCAGAGCCCTCCGATGGACATCTCGAGCACAATCTCATGAGAGACCCTGAACCACTGAAACTGTGAGGCAGTAAATGTTTGCTGTGTTTGCAGCCACTAGGTTTTGAGGTATTGAAGCACATTCCAATAGATAAATAATCCCAAAACCAAACTCCTCACAATGACCCACAAGACCCTGGGCGCCTGCCCTCTGTCTCTGACTCATCTCCTGGTCTTCTCCCTCTTCCGTTCTGCCACAGACGTGCTGGTCACCCGCTTCCTTGGAACTTGCTGGGCACACGTCTGCCTCAGACACTGCGTCTGCGGGTCTCTCTGCCCAAACTGCTCCCTCTCAGACGCCAGTGACTTGCACTCCTCACCTCCTTCAAGTCCTGGCTCAAATCTCCCCTTCTGAATGAGGCCCTCCCTGGTCAGCACTTGTACAGCGAAAATCCTCCCCTGCTTTGCTCTCTCCATTGCCCGATCACCACTGAGCACATTGTGCTGTCTCTGGTCCATCTTCATTGTCATGAGCTCCACGAGGGCACAGATGTGTGTGGGTTTTGCTCATGGCCTCCTCAGGGGCCAGGACAGTGCCTCGAACACAGGGAGTTTCAACAGCCATTTGTTAAGTGAATGGATAAATGAATTAGTCTAGTTAGCTTACAAAAATTAAACACATTATGTGGGTTCCTTATAGGAAAATTAGAAATTATAAAAAGACTTAGGAATGAAATAAGAACTGCTATCTGAAAATATTGAATACTATCGTTTTGTCTATAATTTTCCTGACTGCTCTCATCAATGCCCTTTGAATTTCAAGAAATGGACGTCCTCCCTGGCTACCCAGACAAAGGAGTGGGTGTCAAAGGCTGTGGTGGACTCCAGGGAAACGGACAAGGCACAAAGTGCCCCCAGGGGTTGAGGGAACTAACACTCCAACTGATGCTGACGCTGCTCTCTGGCTGGTGGGGCCCCGGCCCCCCCTCCTGTGGCATCTCTGCTTCCCCTCTTCACCTGCTCCAGTCTGCTCACTCGGTGGTGTTCGTGTGGTCCTCCTGTCTGCCCTGGGACCTCCGCACTCTGTCAGTCCTGCTGGCCCGCTCTCTCATTGTCCCAATTCCAAGTTCCGAGAACACTCTGATGACACCATCTTGGGCCAGGCATCCTCATCTCCTGGACAGCGTCATAAATCTGTGTTAACGTGCTAGGGTCGTCGTAATACAGTGCCACAAACTGAGTGGCTCAAGCAATAGAAAGTTCTGGAGGTGGGAATCTGAGATCAGGGTGTTGGTGGGTTTGTTCCTTCTGAGGGCTGGGAGGGAGACTCTGTCCCCTGCCTCTCTTCAAGCTCCTGGGGGGTGCTGCAATCTCTGCCCCAACCTCTGCCCTCGTCTTCACATGACATTCCGCTTGTCTTTGTTTCCAAATATCCTCCTTTTATAAGGACGCCAGTCATATCGGATTAGGGCCCACCCCAATGACCTCTTCTTAACTTAATCATCTGCCAAGACTCTAGTTCCAAATGGGTCACATTCACAGGAACTTGTCACTAGGACTCCACCATCCTTTGGGGGACACAGTTCACCCCATGACAGTCACATTGAAACACACATGCTCCTTACCTTATGATGAGGTTATGTCCTGATAAACCCATAGTAAGTTGAAAATATTGTAAGTCAAAAATGCATTTAATACACCTAGACTAAAGTACCAAACATTGTAGCTCAGCCTAGCCTGCCTTAAACGTGCTCAGAACACTTGCTTTAGCCTATAGTTGGGCAAAATCATCTAACACAAAACCTGTTTTATACTAAAGTGTTGTATATCTCATGTAACTTATTGAATACTGTACTGAAAGTGAAAATGGTTTCCCACCATCATAAAGTCAAAAACTCCTAAATTAAACCATCATAAGTTGGGGAACATCTATAGTCAACAGATTTGCACCTTCAAGTGGCTCTGAGTAGAGAAAGAAATAACAGGGTTCTGGCACCAAGGTTGTTTCCAATGTAAATACATGTTTTTCTTGCAAGAATGGAATCACACTACATAACTTTCCCTTAATGATACATTGTAAAAATTTTCCCATGTCAAAAAACATATTTTCCTCATTTTTAATGGCTGCATAGATTTATACTATGTGAATATATTATAACTTACTTAAGGAATCCCTTATTGTTAGATTTCTTCTGATTTTTTAGTTTATTTTTTACAATATGGCAGTGAATATCTTTGTTCCTAAATCTTTATGCATACTGATAATTATTTCCGTAAGAGAAATTCCTGAAAGCAGAAGTAGAGCTTCAATGCATATGACATTTTAAAAGTTTTTGATATATTATCAATATGATTTCTAGGAATTTTGTTGAGAATGTCTCTCTTGCAACATCTTTGCCAATATCCAGTAGACTATTTTTAGCCAGCCAAAGTTGAAGAGATTTAAAAAATTTTACAGTGGGCACAAGCCATGTAGACTCAGCTACTTGGGAGGCTGAGGCAGGAGGATGTCTTGATCCCAGGAGTTTGAGCTTGCTGTGAGTTATAATGACACTACTGCACTCTATCTAGGGTGACAGAGCAAGATCCTGTCTCAGAAAACAAAAGACGCCAATAGCAACTTGGTAGCAATTTCCAGAAAATCTACAGCTCATAATTCAGGACAAAACTGGTCAAAACAGAGGCCAGACACGGTGGCTGATGCCTATAATCCTAGTACTCTGGGAGGCCAAGATGGGAGGATTGCTTGAAGTCAGGAGTTCGAAACCAGCCTGAGCAAGAGCTAGACCCCATCTCTACTAAACATAGAAAACATTAGCTGGGCTTGGTGGTGCATGCCTGTAGTCCCAGCTACTCAGGAGGCTGAGGCAAGAGAATCACTTGAGCCCAAGAGTTTGAGGTTGTGATGAGCTATGATCACGCCACTGCACTGTAGCCAGGGTGACAGAGCAGGACTCTGTCTCAAATAAAATAAAATAAAATAACCCAAAAAACCAAACCAAAACAAAAACTGGTTGAAACATTAAAAAGGATGTATCAGTGACAAAACAAAGTCATCAAATTTGAATATAGATTAACCATAAATACAAAATACCTGAGCAAGGAGCCGAATGTTAGTTGGCCCCAAATCTTACAAACACCGGAAGATGAGCTAAGCAAGAAAAAGGCCGAAACAACCACGTGAATGTAATTCCAGAAACTCAAACGAAAGCTGATATGCCATTTGAGGAGCTGATGAAAGAAGGCCCTAAATGACTAAAGGTTAGAATAATGGAAAATGGCATGCAGGAGTACCTGAGACAATCCCTTCACAGGGGAAATGCTGAAATTTAAAAATGGAATTGCTAGGAATGCATTAAGGCAGATATGCAGTTTGAGGAATTAGCAAATGAGTGCTAAAAATGCACATAATTGAAAAAACTTAAAAGACATTCACCAGCATACTAAAGACATGGGAGGAAACAGTCCCATCTTACATGAAATTCTGACATTTTGGTGTCTAGCAAGGAGTAATTAGGATACGAGGACTTAGTAGCAGTTTGTAGAAAAGTTGACATGAATGAGTAAGCTGTTCTGGGCAGCAGCAAAGGAGTACAAGAAGCCAGAAGAGATTATTATAATTAACAGTCTGATGAGTGCCTCAAATATGATGGGCATTAATCGTCAATAGAAAAGTATTGAGGAAAGAGAGCAAGTGAGGTTGTTACTAAACCTTACAATCCTGGACAACCGGTAAGCTAAGAGCGGAACTAAGAAGTGACAGTAGCACCCATATCACATATTAAATTTTGTTTACCAATTGTTATAAATAAACTGAGAAACTATTGAGAAATTAGCTGAAGACTTGAAAATTATAAATATGGCAATAGGAAATGACATAAAAGAGAATTGAAAAGAAATCAGTAAAAACCGAAAGATTCCCATTTAAAAGGACGACATGCTGGTTTCTAAGGAGGAAATGCACTTTTAAATTTTAAAGATACACATGCAACCCCATCCTTTCAACAAACTGAGCAATCCTTAAACTGCTGCTAACACAAGGAAAACCAGTCCACTTGAGCTTGAGAGCAATCCCCAAAAGCCACATGAAAACCTTCCTACACAACAGAAATTGCTTTACAATTATGTTAATCAGTACATTTGTTAAATTATTTATTCTATTAAGTGGTTATTTAATGAACTGGCTTTAGCTTGTTCTATCTGTCTGTCTGTCTGTCTGTCCATCTATCTTCCTAAGTGGCTATTTTGTGAATTGGTTATTTGAGGAATTGATTTTTGGCAAAATGGCTTTAGATTAATTCAATGTTGGTAAATTTACCCAGAACCACCACTTCCCCATTTCCTCCATACAAATGGGGGAGGCAAATAGTTTTTTTTTAGAAGAAGCTTTCTGGAAGGCAATTTTGCAATCCTTGTTGGAAGGTGTAAAAATATGCATGTTCACTGACCAACAATTCCACTTTTAGGAAATTAGCCTAAAGAAATAATGACAATGTGCAAAAAGATTAGGCTACACAGATTTCTCAATGGAATTATCTAATACAGTAAAATATTAAAGACAAGTTAAAATTTCAGTAGCAGGGGTTAATTAAATAAACCAAGTGACAGTGTATAGAGGATTATTCTGAAGCTTTAAAATTTGTGCTGTGAAAGAATATTTAATGTCTTAGAAAGTTGTTCAAGCATTGTTGTTAAGTTTAAAAAAAAAAAAACAGGCTGTGAAACAGACTGATACTACTTGAGTAAAGAAAAAAATGCCATATGTGTATGACTGAGTGGATAAACTCCAAAACATTCACTGTTATTTTTATTTTGGGGTTGGCATTAAGGATAATTTTTATTTTCTTCTTTTTGTTTACCTGAATTTTCTAAAATTTCTACACTGAATATGTGATATCCTTTATAAAGAGAGAGAAAAAAAGCCTTTAATCACCTATTGGCTTAGAAGCCAGGAGACCTTCCCAATGTATGTGACCTTTAATAAGCCCCTATGCCTCTCTCCAAGCTTTTCTATTCTCGTCTTCCTTGAACCTCACGTCTCTTCCCGGGTCTTTCCCTTCTCTCTTTTAAAATTCTGGTAGTGACTCACTACTCCTAGAAATCTATACCCCATGAACCTCAGCATTGCTTGCGGACTGTTTTGTTGGATGCTGACATACAGGGCTTGCATCGATAACTATGAGTGGCAGACGGTCAAGGAGCAATGGATATCTAGAGGAGGAAGACACCCCTAGGAGCTTGTACTCCAGTGGAAGGGACAGATACCTGGCCAGAAATGGCACTGCAATGTGAGAAACAGTCTCATAAACGTATGAGCAGGCCAGGCGCGGTGGCTCACGCCTGTAATCTAGCACTCTGGGAGGCTAAGGTGGGCGGATTGCTGAGGTCAGGAGTTGAAACCAGCCTGAGCAAGAGCGAGACCCCCCTCTACTATAAATAGAAACAAATTAATTGGCCAACTAATATATAGAGAGAAAATTAGCTGGGCATGGTGGTGCATGCCTGTAGACCCAGCTACTCGGGAGGCTGAGGCAGCAGGATCACTTGAGCCCAGGAGTTTGAGGTTGCTGTGAGCTAGGCTGACGCCATGGCACTCACTCTAGCCTGGGCAACAGAGTGAGACTCTGTCTCAAAAAAAAAAAAAAAAAAAAAAAAAAGTATGAGCAAAGTGGTACAAGGTCACAGAGGTCAGTGGTGACTTCTGGAAGAGGTAACAGTGGAGTTGGATCCTGGAAGGAGGAGCATCGTGGGCCTGCAGTTACCGACTATGACCGGGCCCTGTGCTGCGGACTTTGTGTGCCTTATACAGTCCTCTCAACAGTCATACCAGACATACTCTCCCTTTCCCTGCTTTTTCTCAAAGCAGTTTAGAACACTAAAGTGCAGGAGGGTAAGTAATTTGCCCAGATTCTGTGCAGTCGCTCCTTGCCTTGCCCTCTTCTGCTGCCTATGCCAGGGCATGGGCATTTGCAATCTATACTTCCTACATGCCATTGCCAACTGGAGGATGGGAGTATTTCCTCCCACCGGCAGGTAGCAGCTTCAGCAGTGGCTGTTTGCCTCCTTGGTTCCAGGGACCCAAACCTTGACAGCCCCTCTCAGTGGTCCCAGCTTCCATTAGGAAGCCTGGATTCCCAGGCTCTAGTAACCTACTTCCTCCTTTTTGTCCCTCCAACTTAGGCATGGTACCGTCTTCCTACATTGCATCTCTGCTCTCCCTCACCACCTCTTTCTTGAACTTACAGATCCACCAATTAGTAACTAGTTCCTTGTATTAAAATCCCTCCTTGAATTGTCTAGTATGGCCTATTTCCTGCACAGACCCTGACCCATATAGGCACACAGCTGTCATTGCCTGAGCTAAGATACTCACAGCTCTTGGACTCCAAAGTCTTCAAAGATGATGGCCCATATTCACTGAACACTTACTAAGTGCCAAGATCTTTAAATGGATCATCTCATTCAATCCGCACGACAACCCTATGAAGTGAGTCCTGTTACCATCTCCTGCCTACAAGAGA